AAAGAGAGAATCCCTTAAAAGTCAGGAACTAGCCATCAGGAAGCAGATTTGGCCATTGTGACAGCACAGGCTGACCAGTGCACACAAGCATGACAACTGTACACATTTTAGCTAAAGAATGCAACAGAAGCTGACAATGAAAACCAGGGCTCTGCAACATTCCTAGCATACAAGTATGCAGCCATTACCAAAACCAAGCATTTTAAAGAGACAGGCAGTCTACTTGGCCACTGATGTTTACAAATGGATCCTGGTACAGAAAAGATTGAGAACCATTAATCTAGAGCACACAGCAGTTAAACCATTTAGAATGCTGCATGCTGTAGCCAGCCCAGAAAGAACATCTTTACTTAAAGTACCATAGCCAAATGTTTTTTTCCTTTGGTAGCAGTTCACCGTGGATCTGCTGGACAGTACCAAACACTCTTATCTATATACCCCTACCCACTCCTCACCTGGCTACTTTAGTCACATTAGAGACCAGAATTAACCGGGACCCTCTAGTTCAGAGGCGGGCGATTATTTTGTGCAGAGGTCCACATGACAGGCAGCCCAGGGCAGATAAATATTAATTTTCTAAAATTTTTTTTTAGGGGCCCCATGGGCCAGATAGAATGGCCTGGAGGGCTGCATCCAGCCCCTGGGCTACATTTTGCCCACCCCTGCTTTAGTTTGTACAACAGCATCAGAGTCAGGGTAGCTGGACTGCTGTCTGAGAAAAGTCATTTGGGATTAAACTTCCTGTTGTATAACAGACACTGCTCCAGAGGTTTATTTCCCTCCCGAGTCTTATTTTTAGAGCTTCATTTTCACGATGTAACCACAACTGGCAGCATAAGCCACTTAGTTTGAGCCATGTTAGAACACAAAAGGACTTACCAGGAATACCAGTTTTTGCAATAGCAGAAGCAGCGTGGTCCTGAGTAGAGAAAATGTTGCAGCTTGACCATTGTACCTGCAAGATCACCAAAGATAAAACTTTACTTGTTGAGCAAGGTTCCCAGACAGAAGATGACTTGCTTTCTCTGTTCTAGAGATGGGAATTAAACATGAAGAGGAAGCAGAAGTAGGAAGGAAAATAAGTTAACCCAAATCCTTGATCCACCCAGAATAGGGATGTGAAAGGTTAAATCATTGTTTAACTAATAAACCCAGTGATAACCAGTTAGCTGATCAGAGGGATGGGAACCAGTACCCATAGCCTGAGGTTAAAGAGGAAAACAGCAAAGTAATTAGCTGCTGGTTCACAGGTGCTCCCTCCCAGCTCCAGCCTTGGCTTCACCTGGGCCATGTTGTCTGTTTGGACTTGCCACAGGCTCCCTCCACACATCCCTCAAGGGCCCTGGGAGCAGCAGCAGAGCAGCTTAGCTGCTGTGTTATCATTAGCTAACCATTCAGATCACCAAACTAAAGGAAGTAGTTTCCTGCCATTGAAGGCACTGATTTTAGTTTGTTCCTCCCTCAACAATCAAAACCCAAGGGTCACACAATTGGCCACCTCATTATACCTGAGAGTTTCTACTAGACAACAATGGCCCAAATTAAGTCATGGCTGTTCAGAAGCTGCAGACTATAGGAGGTGTTAAAAGTCTGGGTTGTTTGAAGTGCCCCTATGACGGCTAGATTTGCTGGGGGTGGGGAGTGTTGAGTGCACAAGGTTGGTGGGCTCTCAACAGGTGCAGGAATCGAGGTAGTTGAGAAACAGTGGCACGGACAAGTTGATTTGACATACCAGAATCAAAGTATGATATTCCAGGTTTATAAAATGCATATTACTTACATTTAAAGGAAAACCCTTAAGAATAGTTTACAGGTTACTTTTCAACTATGTACCCTCAAAAATTACAACAGTCTCCTGTCTGTCTGAGGCCCTTAAATGTTTCTTGCTACTGTAATACTTTAAAAGCTCACTGTCTCTAATAAATTTGTCCTTACGACACCACATTGATGGAACAGTGCTATTATTCCCATTTTCCAGGTGGAAAACTGAGCTGTGGATAAGTCATTTGACCTCTCTAAGGTCACATGAGAAATTCCACCCTTGTTTCTAGAGTCACCACCCTGTTTTTCCTATAATGTTTTCAGACACAGCTAGAGGTCTAGAGTCCATACTCAGATTTAGTAATTGCTTTGCTGACTTTTGAGGGACCTGGAATGATGTTTAGTCCATACTATTCTGTTTTGGAGCCATTCACTTGAGGTTAAATGATACCAGCAGACTGATACTACTACTGCATGTCAGTGCATAAAGCCATTCGGCAAGGAGCAACCTTTGGCATTATTCTTGAAGCTGATAAGATATCAGCTCATATGGCAAAAAAGGATTACCAAGACCATGAGCACCTCCTCCTGGCAGAAACAAGCACCTACATCAGAATGCAGCCTGTTTAAATCCTGTATTTCACTCAGTGCACTTATGGATTCTGAATGGACAGCTCCAGTATCCGAAAGGAAACAGAAGATGCAACCCATATGACTGCAACTAGCATTCCAATCTCTTCATAAGGGTGTGCAATTATTTGCTGAAGATAGCACTTTACCTCTGCTCCCAGCACCACAAGGGTCTCTATCAGAACTGCAGTCTGCACAGTCATGTGAAGGCAACCTGCAATCCGAGCTCCTTTCAATGGTTTCGATGCTCCATACATCTCCCGCATCTTCATCAGCCCTGGCATCTCATTCTCCGCAATCTCGATGGCCTTGCGACCCCATTCTGCTAGGCTGATGTCAGCTGCAAGCAGAAGCAGGACAGGTGGTTTGGACTTGAGTACATGAAACCATGCATACATTTTAGATTGGCATTTGCTACGACTGCTGTGAAACAAATTAGGCTGGACACCATGCAACAGCTGGGAGAAACAAAATGTCTTCAGCTCATGAAGGGTTTCTTTTTTTTTTCCCCATTGCATTATGAAGAATTCTATTAAGTTTTGAAGCCAGCATTTCCAAATGCAGGTACAGAAAGCAACAAATATCCCATCTAGGGACATAAATTGAAAGTGGCCCAATTTTTAGAAGTACCGAGCTCTTTTTAACTTACAAAATTAACCTTAGGGCAGTAGTTCTCCACCATTCTGAACTCAAGGCACCCTTCATCAGACTTGAGGCACCCCTCCATAACTTCTGTGAAAGGACTGACACCCAATTTCAAAAACTAATTTATACATCCCTGTGCAAGGAAGTAAGCACTGTCAACAGGTAGTAGGGGTGGGGGAAATCAGGAGGCAGGGACAAGCCTGAGCCTTATCTCCTCTCATCTTGTAACACCGAAAGGATCTAGTGCAGAGGCAGGCAAAATATGGCCTACCAGGTGATTTCATTCAGCCCACAGGCACCCACCAATTAATTGTACCCTACCTAAGCTGCATGCTTTGCTCCTACCCTCATGTGCTGGAGGGCCCTGGCCAGCATACACAGCTTCTAGGTGGGACCACTGCTACCACTGCTGCAGCTTCCAGGGGACCTGCCCAGCTTCCCCAGCCTCCTCCTCCTGTCCTGGCAACAGCACTTGCTCTGGGCACTAGGTAGGAAAGCTGTAGCTGGGCAGAAATGTGGAGCATGTGGCTAGAACTGGTGGGAACATAGAGACTAGGCCCCACCTGCACCCAGCAGGAGTGTGGAGTTTGGGTAGGCAGGGTGTGGCTGTATGGGGCTTGTGAGGAATGAGGGGAGGGTGCAGGATGTTAGCCCCCACATATGCCCTCCCCTCCCCACATGGTGCACAACCCCAGCAACAGCAACACATGCCAGGTTCTGGAGGCATGGCAACCAGGCAGCACGCAGCTCCAGCCAGTTCTAGGAGCTGTACATAGTGTCAAGGAACAGAGGCAGGCCACCCTGCCTCTATCACGCAGGGCTCACATGCAGCTCCCAGGACTGGTGCACCACTGGGGGAGGAAGCCCCACACGATGGAACTGGTTGCCTTCTCCACTCCCTGCCAACATATACAGCTTACTGGACTCTGCTGGGAAGCAGGAAGTGTGGCTCCTTGCCACTTCTGGCAGAGTCCCATGAGCTCCACTTGGCAGCAGGGATCAGAGAAGACCTCTGGTTCCATCATGCAGGGTTTCCCTGTGGTGGCACCAGTCCTGGGAGCTGCATGCAAGCCCCACAAGATAGAGACAGGCTGGCCTGACTGCTCCTTTCTGCTATGTAGAGCTCCTGGAACTGACTGGAGTCATGCATTGCCTGGCAGTCACCCCTCCATGGGCTACAAGTACCCCAAGGGTCTGCCACCTGCTGCTGCTGCCATTGCCAGCAAGGGCTGCACCACATTGGGGAGGGAGAGGAAAGAAGGGGCACACACCCTGCCCACCCCCTCAACCTTCCCATATATACATACCCCTCCACCCAAAGTAATTTTTCACCCCAATCTAATGGCACCCCAGAATGCCACAGCACTCTGATTAAAAGTCACTACTTTAGGCCTTACAATTTATAAATGCAACTGAAATGTGAAACTCATTCCCACCAGATATAGTGGAAGCAGATGGTTCAGCCAGATTCAAAAAAGGGATTGGACACATTCTTGGAGTAAAGAGGCAACAGTTGCTATTGCGCAGGGCAGTTATGGATACAGACTCTGAATTGGAACTTCCTAGACCTTAAATGCTAGAGTCTGCAAGTGGGAAAGAAGTGGAAAAAAATCCTGGTCGTACCCCATTCACTCTCCTTTTCAGCACCCACTCTGCTGCTGCGTGAGACAGGAGACTGTGCAAGATGGATCTATAGTCTGACCCAGTAAATAGCAATTCTTATGCCTACATCTATCACTGTGCATGCAGGTTTATTTTCGGAACGTAAGGACTTCTGAGTGCCTCATCACATATACATAGAATATGTGCACAGTCTATAAAACAACTTCACAAATTAAAAACAACCCAGTCTTTGCCTATCAGTTGCCATGAATGATTCCCCCCAGCCAAACAAAAGTCTAACTTTAATCCAGAAGATCATTTCCCAAGTCCTGCAACTAAAAAGATTACTGATTTACTGCTTGTTAACAAAAAAATCCTTTAGTTGAAAAAGTAGTAAAAGCTGAGGTCAAGAGTTCCAAAATCCAAAGTTCTACAGGAGGAGGATACACTTTTCATAATGGACTTGTTTTTCCAGCCTTACCTATGGAGACCACTTTCTCCATGACAGGCAGATTAACCCATCTTTTACATTAGCCCAAGCCATTATTTTACATTATTTCTATGCCATAATGTCGCTTGCCACTTTGTAAGACAGTTATTTTCCTGAGAAGCCACTTATGTTAGGCTCTTCAGGAGCTCTGTACATCCCTCCCTGGCCTTGAATAACTTAAACTGCAACACCGGTGACTTTGCAACTCGTTCTCTTAGGGCTAGTCAATAAATATGATGTGGAATCACAGGCTGTAATGGCAATTACAGTCAAACAGGCTGATCACATAAGACAGAAAACATTTCCGACCTATAAGATCCCAATAATTCCTAAACCAAGCCCACCCCTTTGGTGTCAGCAATAGCTTGTACATAATAGGCCTTCATAGGCTTGTCTACATCATGGTGCCAGCAGGTCTGGGAGAGGCCACATCAAACATACCATGACCACCGACACCCTCCAGAGCTAAAAGTTTGTCAGTGAGGCCTGTTCAGGTTTATCCCCCAAAGTCGCTTCCAGGCCTGTCACAGACTGATGGTTCAAGAACAGGCACAACGGGATGAGCTCAGTGGCAATCCTCTAGGTTTGGATTGCACCTGTAGCCACCAGCAAGTCGAACATGCCGGCTGTCCTCCTAGCTGGCACCTGCCACTGTTTGGGGCCATTGCTGCAGGAAGGAAGAAAGCGACTAAGGAGAACTGAGCCCTGAAGGTTAACCTTGTCTAGGGCTTGTTTAAATAGGACCAGCAGTGGGATGTGGAGCAGAAAGGAAGGTCTTGAGATGCTTTAAGTGGGGCTACTTTGGGCTGCTCATGTAACAGGTGGAAGCAGTCTATAGGAGCAGCTTGGATGTGTCCTAACGGAGGGACCCAAGTAGTTTCCTACAGATATCTCCTCCCGCTTTCTGGGGTTGAAGTAAAGCAGCGCTCATAGCAGCTAGGGGAGGGGACGCTCTCCGCAAAGCCGTGCAGGGGCTGTACAAAAAACAGCACCGGGACAGGAGCCGGCCCCGTGCGCCCAAGGGAGTAGGCCAGGCCGTCCCTGCTCTGCTCCCCGCGGAACTACAGCCCCTGCACCCGGCCCGGCGCGGCCGCGTGAGGAGCCCGCAACTGAGGCCGGGGGGAGGCGCCGGACTCCGGCAGGGGGAGGCGGAGCCGCTGCCCCGGGCAGGGTGCCCAT